GAATAATGCAATATGCGATCCTATGCAGTCAACAAGTTCTTAATTCCTGGCATGAACTTTATCCGCCACCGCAACGAAAAACAATCTACCAAAGCGGGAGCTTTGCTGCCATTCGACCACCCATCACAACCACCACCACCACCCGCACCCATCGGAAAATTGTTTTCTCTGGTCGGAAGCCATGGCGGTGGAAATTTCAATTTCCCATGAGAAGTTTCGCTTTTGTCTACTTTTACCCCCCTCCTAAGGATGATTGGAGCTTTGTTTTGGGAACCGACAAATGACAACACAAAGCTTTCTTCCTTTCTTTGGGTATGCATCGAACGCTGTAGGCACTGCTTTAATGGTGCTAAAATGATGTTGCAGGTAGCATTAAAAAGCACGGCTTACATACACCAGGCTAGCTCGATAGAGTGTAAACATTCGTGGAGCTGACGTCATCAGAATCGTCAGCGTAAATAGTTCAGAAGGTTTCAATTTGTTTTGCAGCATGATCGTTCGCCTCCACGCAGAACCAGCTGGGTCGGAAAAAGGTTCCAGCACGCAACGAGCAAAATGTTCCCGCCATTAGCCAACGGCGTCCGATTCCGGCTCTTCCGCCACTTCCATTTGACTGCTGCTGCTGCCAACTGCTGAGGTGCCAAACCCTTCGGCTAATCCAAGCCGTCAGTCCTGTCACCGGTTTCGGTGTCGTGGCGTCGAGATTATGCCCCATCATCGCACGAAAACGAAGAGCTGCTCACAACAGAGGAACTCATAACCATCATGGCAGAAGCAATCATCATCAAGCGCTCCTGCAGAACCAGAACCGAGCAGATTCTTGCTGCATCACGCTTCATCGACAATTATGAACAACACAAGATCGCGAACTGGAACGCGCTAGCTCGCTCAAGAGCAAGAACATCGAGTTCGTGGACTTCCTGAAAAAACGAAACATCGACATTGCCGTCATCACCGAAACCCACCTGAAACCGGTGGTAAACGTCCAACTTCCTGAATTCCGGCTTCTAAGACTTGATCGAACCAACTCCGGGGGAGGAGGACTTGCCATTGCTGTAAGGAGAAACATCCGCTGTCGGCTTCTGCCTAGCTTCCAGCTGAAAAACATCGAAGCTTTAGGGGTAAAAGTTTCCACTCCTGTCGGCCCTTTTTTATACATAGGGGAATCTGCTCACAGACACCTGAGAAGGAACTCAGGGTGTGGGGATGGGAGAATTTCACTCCCGACCCACTAAACCTTACCCTGTGCGCTTGGCCCTTGACCTCCCCGGAACCGCCCGAAGGCATTACTTCGTGGGAGGGGCCGCTGTAGCGCTATGGCGCCTCTCTAGCAATACTCTAACGATCTAGTCGGGCAGTAGGTAACTGCTGCTTGGCTCGCCACTGTCGTTGTAATACCGAAACCGCGCTCCAGTTCTCGGTGGTACCACACATCCTAGGAACGATGTTATCCGGACTGGTATCCGCTCCGCATATCGCTAGCATAGCGCTCGATACTGGCTCGAAACGTGGACAGGCGAACACAACGTGTTCGGCGGTCTCCTCGACACCAGCACACGTGGGGCAGATGGGAGTACTTGCATGTCCAAACCTATGCAGGTAGCTTCTAAAGCAGCCATGGCCTGACAGGAACTGTGTCAGGTGGAAGTTTACTTCCCCATGGCGCCTGTTGACCCAGCTTGATACGGAAGGTATCAAGCGGTAAGTCCACCTCCCCTTTGTGGAGTTTTCCCACTCCGATTGCCATCTCGCGGACGACACAACTCGCGCGTTGTTGCGCACTCCTCGTACGGTCCTCGCGTCATAGCACACCACATCCTTCTTAATGATGAGGCTGATTGGCATCATCCCTGCCATGACACAGACGGCCTCTCTCGAGATAGTGCGGTATGCACTGGCCACCCTCAAGCACATTAGCCTGTGTGTGCTCTCTAATTTCTGCCTGTGGCAGTCAATATCCAGTACCACAGCCCACACAGGGCCGCCGTATCTGAGGATAGATGCTACGACCCCAGCGAGGAGCCTGCGCTTACTGGCATTCACTGCCGAGCTGTCTGACATCATACGGGATAATGCCCCCACAGCCATAGACGCTCTCTTGCAGGCGTACTCGACGTGGCAGCCGAAGCTGAGCTTATCATCGAGCATAACCCCCAAGAGTTTCAGAGAGCGCACAGACCTAATTGTGCTTCCGCCGACTGTCAACGTCGCATACTGTACTGACATGCGATTGTTGACTACGACCACTTCCGTCTTGTGGTGGGCGAGCTCCAGTTTCCTGGTTCTCATCCATTCCTCCACAAGTCTGACGCAGTGAGCCGCTGTCAGCTCTACCTCCTCGAGGGATTCCCCGCAGACTACCAGCGTGACATCGTCGGCAAAACCTACAATTTTCACGCCTACCGGGAATTTTGTCCTCAACAGTCCATCGTACATGACGTTCCATAACACCTGGCCCAGGATGGAGCCTTGTGGCACTCCTGCGGTGACTCTAACGCATTTTTCGCCATCTTCTGTATCGTACGTCAACACACGATTCTGGAAGTAGCTTTCCAGAATCTTATAAAGCCCTCCGGGAATTTGGAGCTGGTGTAGCGAGCGGGCTATCGCCCCCCAGCACGCGCTGTTGAACGCGTTCTTCACATCTAAGGTTACCACCACGCAGAAGCGAATGCCCCTTCGTTTCCGATGGAGCACCTCTGCCGTCTGGATGACGTCGCGGATGGCATCCACCGTGGATCTGCCCTTACGGGACCCGTACTGGCTGCTTGACAACCTGTTGAGGATGACCCTCTCAAACAGTTTCCCAGTGGTGTCCAGCAAACAGATGGGTCTGTATGCTGACGGGTCCCCAGGGGGTTTTCCTGGCTTCGGGAGCAACACCAGCTTCTGCCGCTTCCACGCATCTGGGAAGATGCCTACGTCCAGACAAGTCTGAAAAACAGAACGGAACATGTCTGGATTTTCCGCAACGGCCGCCCTCAGAGCCACAACCGGGATGCCATCTGGGCCCGGGGCCTTGCCCACCACCAGCGACTTGGCAATACCGCCAAGTTCACTGTTTGTCACTCAAGACACTTCTCCCTGATCCGCGCCTGGGATCCGCGGCCAGGAGTCTACGTCCCTACGCGGGAACAGGAACCCAACGATCGGAGCCAGTACCGCTGGTGATCTCACCGGAGGTGCCGTCACGCCGCGGGTCTTTGCCATGACCACTTTGTAGGCATCCCCATGGGTTCGTGTTGGCGCTTTGGCATAGGCTGTCAAAGCACGCGCGCTTGCGTCTGGCGATCTCTTTATTGAGGGCTGCCTTAGCCGCTCGAAGAGCGACACGGCGTTCCTCCCGAGATTCAGTCGTACGAGCTCGTTGCATCCTCCTTCTCGCCTGGAGGCAAGACGCCCTGAGGATAGCAATCGACTCGCTCCACCAGTACACCGGTCTATGGCCATGCCTGGGATAGGCTCTCCTAGGCATGGTTGTATCGCACGCCCTTGTCAGTGCTGCTACCAGTTCTTCCCCCGTCAGATCCGGGGTTATTCGCTCCCGCCTTAGTGCTTCGCCGAAGACCGCTTCCTCGAAGAACGACGTCCGTCAGCCTCGAGCACAGGCAGAATTTTCTCCTGCCACTCGCTTCTCACCTGGCCCCACACTGTACCGAATCGCCTGATGGTCACTGTGAGTGTAACCCTCATCGACCCTCCAGTGTAGGTTGCCCTCCAAACTCGGGCTGTAGTATGTAACATCGATGACGGATTCTGCACCATTCCTTCTGTAGGTACTGACCGAGCCGGTGTTGGATAGTACAACGTCCAGCTTGGCCATCGCCTCCAGTAGGATGCATCCTCTCTGGTTGGTGTGGTGGCTGCCCCACTCCACCGCCCATGCATTAAAGTCGCCCGCAATGAACACAGGTCTTAGGCCGACAAGTACCGCAGTGAGTCTGTCCACCATCTGCGAGAATTGCTCGATAGACCACCTGGGCGGAGCAAAGCAGCTACTTAAATATACTCCATTAACCCTGGCGATCACGAATCCCTCGCTCGAGTTGGACACGACTACCTCCTGAATGGGGAAGCTCCCCATCGTGCATATCGCCGCCATCCCCGACGCGTCCGTGACCCAATTCCCGTTGCCGGTTGGGACGCGGTACGGATCGGAGATGATTGCGACATCCGCTCCCCATTCCGCTGCCGATTGCCACAGCAGTTGCTGGGCAGCCGAACAGGCTCCTGTCGGCCCTATCACAATCGTTGTCACCTACTGCCCCAAGCAAGTCACCATTAGGGACGGGTCGACTGCAGACCTGCGGAGGGACACCATCAAACTTACTCGACGGTGCGATGGCGACGCCAAACACCAAGCTTGGGGCAACAGCCGACGCAACCAAAACGGCACAATCCTGAATGACGACCTGCAAGAGGCTCGCTACACAATATTGGCGCCCGACTCTCCCACCCGGCTGAGCAGGTCTGGCGTTCACTCCACCATCGACATATTCGTCAGCAACATGGGAGACAACATATCGCAACCTGTGACCTACCAGGAGCTGATTCCGGACCACTGTCCGGTGGTGGCCGAAGTGGGCTCAGCCGTCATCCGATTCCAAGCTTCCCGACGCAACTACCAGCGCGTCAGCTGGGATCAGTTCCAACACTGTGACGGATGACTCCCCCGTCAACTACGGTGTCCTTCCAGAGTCGCTCGAAGACAGGCGAGCAATACGCCGTAACTCTATAAGAAGGTAATACCAGCGGTTGCTATGATGAGTTTTCACCGTTTGCTCTCCCGTTTTCAAAATGACGTCCAAGGAGCAGCGTTTCAAAATTTTGGCTGCGATTAAAAAGTGTGTGATTCTGAACTGAAACTTTGATAATTTGAAATTTGGAATTCACAGAACGTCTGAACCGACCAAAGGACGGCATCCTAACGCAATCACCTCCATCAACACCAGATGCAAACAATGTCATCCAAAATAACCATTCAAACCCAATCGTTATCATTTACCATTTATTTTCACTGGTCGAACACGGATCGGCTACATCAATATCACTATGGCTAAATCGAAACTTAATCTAAAACGGCTGGCACGCTCCACTGGAATCAGAAAACTTACAATAGAAACTCAACCCTCCTCGTTCATTCTCTACTCGTCACACTCTGGCTCCTTGCGGTAGGCCAAATTCGGCGGTGACCTCGGATCACACACCGTCCGCTGTGTCGCTTCCTGGACGCCCGCACTCAGCACCCGGAAGTTGACCTCGGTGTAGTCCAGCCGCGAGTACAGGAACACCGGCAACTTATTGCTGATGACCCAAATCGATTGCTTCGGTTCACGATCGATCTTCAGATCGTTGGGGAAGGTCAGCTTTTGCATGTCCTTCTCGACGACGCCCAGATTGTTGCGGTTGTACGGTTTGGCGAGATCCCAACAGCCGACTCCACTCTGCTGGACCAGGGTGAAGAACTGCACATTGTTGCGAGTGACACCGGAGGTCGACGATTGGCCGGCCTTGCCGCGGCTTCCGATCGGTTGGAAGGCCTTCGCCAGGCCAAAGTTTTGCCAGATGGTTTCGTTCTGCAGGACCGAGGTTGGCACTTGGAATTCCTAAAATGGCGGGGAAATTGTGGTTATTTTTTAATTGTGGATCTCGAAGGGGGCTGACGAACCGTGAAGCTGGACATCGGGTGGTAGAATAGCATACGATCGCCGTTGCGATGAACCGGAGAGAGTGACATTCCGAAAACTCCGTCGGACCACTGGAAGTTTAGATCCTTGTAGTTGTAGTCGCTGGCTACAGGATTCGGATTGTACAGGTAGTTGGTGGTGCGCCAGCTCTTGAAGTCACGTAGGCTGAACACAGTAATTCCGTAGCGCCACACATCGGCTACGTACGCGTAGGCATCGTCACATTGAGCATCTCGAATGTCGACCACGATGTTGGTGTGCAACGAGTCCTGCTTGACTTGTTCCTCCGGAAGGGTGTAGCTGAACAGAAGTTCGTCCGTTTGAAGATTGAAGGCGAGGATCTTCGGAGGGCACACCTGTTGGAGGTTGGTTAGCGTGTCGATAACACCGGCGTCCAGCACCCACAGGCGATCGCATTCGTCCACGTAGATACGATACACGGATACGAGCCGACTGCAGTCTGGATTTTGAGGGGTGGTGTGGAAGCTCCAGTCCGGGTACGGGATCAAAGGGAGATTCGGATCATGCACAGGCAGTGGGAGATAGGACAGGGTTGCCGGTACACCTGGGTTCCAACGAGGCGTGGTAATGAAGATACGATTGCGGTAGCGATCAACGCCCAACGGGAGGTTGTTCTCCGGGATGAATTGTCTATGGAATGGGGGGGGGGATTAGTTGAATCAAAGGAATGCGGGACTCATTAGACAGAACTCACTTCGTCCGAATGGCGTCGTTCCGGGCCTGCAGGCTTGGATACAGAAAGTCGATGGTCTTCCACTGGTAGATCACATCGAACACGTTCTTGCCTTGGCTGGTGGTGAAGTCCTCCTGCTGCTGCTGTTTGGTACCCAATGCGGCCACTCCTCCCGGGGCGAGATAGGGATTGGCCAGAAGTGGGGCTTGAGTGGTGATGTTGGTGCTTGCCGAACGGCTGATGGATCCATGGCGGGAATGCATGAACGGTGAACCACCGAAGGCCTGCGGCAACACTGCGATGGTTGCCAGTAGCAGCCCAAAGGCTGCCCGTGGGTTGAATCGATTCATGTTGGGTCTAGAAGAAGTGGAAAAGTATGTTTTAGTTGTTTTGCTAGTGCGGGAAATATTTTGTTTTGGTGTGGTTAGCTGCGCGCACGCTGAGTAGATAGAAAGAAGATTTTTTACAATTCTGATGCAAGTAGATGCGAGAATGAAAGATGATTTTGGTTTGTTAGTGTGAGATTTTGCGCGCATCTAGAATTGAGATTTAGATATGACGCCCCTCTCAAACATGTCAGCACTTCCACGACCTAATCAGTTCCCTGTACACCAATTAAAATGTATGTACTCTTATCTGAAGCCATATGAACCTTTCAACGTCTTCTTAGCAGCTCTGAAGTTTGCAGATCCACATGTTCACTGAACCTATCTGTAGTTTGTCAAACCTCTAGGAAGTTTTTCAAGCTTCAGAGATTCTTAGTTTTGTTAGTTCCCTGATTATCTCAAAATTTTTATAAGAAGGGGAGAGATTTTCAGATTAGTTCAGAGAAGCTTAAAAAAGTTTGATGCTTGAACATTTTAGACATATTTCGGGAATTTCAAAGAAGATCAGTGCACTTCGGAGAAATTAAGTAAAATTAAGAGACGCTCAAGGACCTTCCATGTTGTCTATAAAATCTCAGAAAAACTCAGAGAACACTTCAAAATTGTTGTGGTGAATTTTAGAGAGGAGTTTAATTCGAAAGAAGTCTGGTTGATTTAGCGAAACTGAATTTTAAATTAATATTAAGAATTACTGGAGAATTAGACCGAAGGTCATTGAGCCGAATGGTCACTAGGGTGAAGGCCATTAGGTAGAATGTTGACCCCGCTTTTTTCATTTTTTTTTTTCGTTTACGAAAATCGATATTTGTGGCATTGCTGTTCTATTATTCATCTGCAGGACAGCTCTACGAGGGAATATCAAAACGCATGAAAGGGAGTACCACACACCTTTCAGAGTTTTTGGTAGGAAAGTGTCAACCTTGTCTCCACGCTCGTCACTGAAATGTTGTGGACACTTTCATATCACCAAATTCGGTAATAACCGAGGGGTTCGCAATGTGATGTCATGGAATTGTGCTACTTCGGGAAGAGGCTGGTGTGCAGCAAAAATAAGCATCGTGATAAATCCTAGCTAAATTGTTCACCATTTCATAGGCCCTGGCAACCTGAGCAGCTATTCCATAAACATTGATCATAGCCTTAGGCTATAGATGTCCACTGATAACATCATTAACATACACGGAATTACTAAACTAACACATGTTTCACCTAGTGGACACCATATAGATCCCTCGATTCGAACTCCTGTTACGCAACGCTTTCGGGTAGCAGCCAATCATGCTAATTTCCCATGTGAACCACTTTCCTTCGTTACCGGTCGGTAACATGCAAATTCTAGCAAAACAAGCATTGATTCCCTCTATTGTAGTTTACATCGAATCGGAAAGGGACACCGCACTACGGATTTGTAGTCAGTGACAGTCCCACGACACATATGGCGGTTAGCTCCCATACTGTAAGCCAGTGGTTCTCATACTTTTGACGACTGCGATCCACTTTGAAAATTTGCATAAGCTCGCGACCGACCAATATTGAATATCAAGAGCCACATGTGAAAAGGGCATACAAGCTTTTTGTAAACAAACCTTTGTAGGCCTTTTTCTCGCCAACCAAGGGTCACTCACGCAAAGCAACAACACCATCGGGAAAGGGAAAGTTTCCCCTATCCGGTGACGTTGATGGTTTGCGTGAGTGTCATGTGGGTGGCGAGAAAAGGGCATAAGAAGGTTTGTTTACAAAAAGTTTATATGCCCTTTTCACATGTTGTTCTTGATATAGGTTTTGTAAGCTCAAAATGGCCTTAAAACTACAAAATAGCTGTAACTCTTACAGGCATGAGCTATATCACAATACACCGACATAATAGTTTTGAAATTAAGCATGTGCATGAGCATGATTGACCACCCTCGGTTGCTTCTCTGTTATTGCGAGATCAGTTGTAATTACACAGAGAACCAATAGACGATGCTTGGGACTAGCAATCATCCTCAATCTAATCTAATCTAATCTAATCTAATCTAATCTAATCTAATCTAATCTAATCTAATCTAACACCAACACGATTCTATAACATTCCCCAGAAAAGTATGCCATGTATTAGATTGACTATTTTTGTTTATTATAGTCACTACTGGAATCTTCTTTCGCGTATATAAAAAGAAGAGAAAAACTTCTTAATGGATCAAGGGGTTTACCCTGCTTTGAAAATATAAGAAATGGAAATAATCAATTCTTTGGATAAACGATAAAGAAGGAAACAATTAATTCTTTGGATTTACGATAAAGAAGGGCATATTCCCTTTTTAATATATAAGGAAAATATATAATCAATAGTTTTTCGCAAGAGATTCGAGGTAATGCCCATTCGAGATAATAAAACTCGAAGGTTGTCATTTTCTAAAGAGCTATAAAATGGTTTGGAATTGATAAATAGTTCCATAAAAGTAAACGTAGTGTATCCTATTGATGAGTGAAACTAATAAGAGAGTTTTATCATGAAAAATATATTAAATCAAATGTGTAAAATTTATCGAGAAAATTGGTATTCCTAAGATGTATTATTCAGTGTGCAAGATTCTTGCGGACCTGTTTATTTATGGACGCCTGTTCTGTAATATAAAACTGACATATAATATCAAATGACCAAAAAAAAAATGATAAATTACTAATTTCATCATCTTTTCTGGGGAATGCAGCCAGTTCTTGAAAGCTTCCTGGAAAATGATATGTATACCTACATCATTTTTCTTGTCTATTTAAGACATGTTTCACATCGAAGATGCGTCACACATATAAAAACGGCCAGGCCTACTGTGCAGCATTTAAGGGGCAAGATGATTCAGAAAACATCGGGCCTGTTTAAATCGAAGATTTAACACGATGCTTCAGAATCCAATAAATGGTACGTACGTACGTCCCAATTTTTGTAATTATATGATTGGTTGATCTTTGGAAGCATCAAAGCTACAAAGGTTAAGTGATGCTCCATTTTCTTCAGACGGTTGGGGCATGAGCACTAACTCTGGTCCTAGACTTTTATGACTTATGGCTATAGCGCCATTACTCGCTTTGGACTAGCAATCAACCTCAATGTGTAAAAACTGGTGATCTCAAACTAGGCAATACCAGCGCCGGCCGCGCCGGAACACAGGTCAAAAGAGGGTAGGAATGTTTTGACGTGACACTCGCTTTGATGGAAGCCGAGAACATCACTGCACTTCCACGTGATTCATCGGGATATTGGGTGATAGGGTTGGATTTGCAGCAGGGTTAGTTTTGGTAAACGATAAGCTGAATTGATGTCCTAACGATCATATAACTCGAAGGAGCTTGGGATTGAACCCACAGTCTTTGCCCTAAAGCCACCGTGCCATTTACATCACATCAAGCTACTACTGACGATATATCAAGCCCGGTTAAAAATCAATTCAAATGAAATGATGCCCCCGAAAGCAGTTAACAATGTTTTTCAAAATATAGATCTTAAAAAGGATAGGAAATTAGATCAAAACCCTACCTACAATGCACTGAAATCTAATCGACCGAGTGTCAAACCTGCATGTTCGGTGGCGGAGATCACGACATCACACACATCAGACCTTACAAACCGATCAAACGCACCGGGAAGAAAACGAAACTCATGATACAAACCTCAACTGGAACACACTCACCAAATCAATACAAGTATGTATTCCGACCACATACTGTCTGGGAGCGTATTCCAGAAGCTTCCATGCATATTTTCCTCCAACCAAATTCACAGCTGCACGACAACTTGGCAGAGCAAATCTTCTTTCATATCGCTCCATTTCTTCTCGGCACGCACAGCTTTTCCAGCACACACCACACCACCACTGATCAATCAGATCAACTCCCCCCACACAGCACCGATGAATCTTCACTTCACTCCGCTTGTTGTATAACCCCACCCTCACAAAGCGATATGAAAACCATATTTTTTGACGTAGACTACGTCTTACAGGAAGGTACTGGGGGTAAATCGAAAATATAAAATTGCGACCGTCACGAAAAGGTGTAAGGTTTTGAACGCTTATAACTTTGTCATTTATAGTTGAAATTATAATCCAAATACACCAATCGATAGGAAATAAATTTCAATGTGCAAATAAAAAGTGATGATTTTATCACTGTTTTCATGAAATAAACGTTCTCCCAAACCCAGTCATCATAATTGAGTACCATTTGGTTTAACAACGTGCTGCTTGAATCTAAAAAGTTATAAAACAGCGCTGCTTTTGTTCTTCAACTCATTTTCGCTTCGGACGCAGGTAGCAGCAGCAGCAGTTGGAATACAGAGGTTCCTGTCAAGCGCGTAGCGTTCGAGTTTTCCACCTCGAACTTTGCGCGTCGTTCCCGTCGAGATCACTGGCTGCAGGCAGCACCGTTGTCTTGATGGCACAAGCGCTCCGAACTGAATCAACCTCCTTGTCTGAGTGATAACGATCCCGAGTTCTACAAATCTCGATTACTTTTTTGAAAGGTCACAAATTAAATTTAACTCGCCAAATGGGTCACAGCCTTGGCAGTAAAATAAGGCACCATCCATAAATGACGTAGAATTTTTTTGACCAATTAACCCCCCTTCCCCCTCGTAGCGTGTTTTGATATACTTAATACTTGACCGGTCACGAATACTGAAACCCCTCTCCCCCCTTAGCTACTACGTTATTTATGAAAGTTCCCTAAGCATTGGGCAATAGTGAAATCAGTGCCATGTCTAAAGAATGTTCCTATTTAATATTCAGGTAGGGCTTCCTCAGAATCAGGGGCGTCTCGTCCATATGTGCACCTCGTGCACTGCACAGTCTCGAATTTTCAAAAAGTGAAATTTATATTTCATAAAATTTAAGAGATTTTCATCTCAAAAATTCTTTTAGTTAATTCCATTTAATACTCAATCAAAACCATTTTTGTCCCCCCCATTTATTGGTTTCATATGGATAGTAACTG